AGGGATCCAGAAGGTCCCCCCTGAGCCTCCTTTTCTCCAGGCTGAGCCCCCCCAGCTCCCTCAGCCCCTCCTGCTGCTCCAGCCCCTTCCCAGCTCCTTCCCTGGACACGCTCCAGCCCCTCCACGTCCTTCTCAGGAATGACCCCAAACCAAACCCCCTTTTGACCCCCACGATCCCCCAGGCTGTTCCTCAGGGAGCAGCCCTGGATTTTTCCAGCCCCCTGCCCTGGAACCATCCCCCCCATCCCGAGGGATCTCTCCCAGCCTTGCCCAGCCCGCTCCGTACCGGGAAGGAGTAGATGAAGATCCCCAGGAAGAGCAGCAGGATGAAGAGGAGGATGAGCAGGACCAGCATCCACTTGTACCTCCTCCACAGGATGTACTTGAGGGTCTTGTAGGGGGAGGTGAACCACAGGAAGGAGGTTTCCGGGCGCCTGGAGCCGGGAAAAGTTCAGGTCACGTCAGAGCCTCCCCCTCCTGGATCCCCAGTCCCAGCAGTGTGGCCTGAAAACCCACATCCCTCTGGGAATGAACCACTCATGTCCCTCTTGGTGGTCCAAACCAGACTCCCATCCCTCCTGGACCTCTGGGAATGTCCCACCAATGTCCCTCTTGGTGCTCCAGATCACCCTCTTGACCCTCCTGGACTGTCCCAGCTCCTCCATCCCTCTGGGAATGTCCCACCAAAGTCTTCCTTGGTGGTCCAAACCAGTTTCCCATCCCACTTGGACTGTCCCAGCTCCTCCATCTCTCTGGGAATGTCCCACCAACATCCTCCTTGATGGTCCAGATCACCCTCCTGACCCCCCTGGACTGTCCCAGTCCCTCCATCCCTCTGGGAATGTCCCACCAATGTCCCTCTTGGTGGTCCAGACCAGCTTCCCATCCCACCTGGACTGTTCCAGCTCCTCTATCCCTCTGGGAATGTTCCACCAACTCCTCCTTGATGGTCCAGATCACCCTCCTGACCCCCTTGGACTGTCCCAGCTCCTCCATCCCTCTGGGAATGTCCCACCAATGTCCCTCTTGGTGGTCCAAACCAGCTTCCCATCCCACTTGGACTGTCCCAGCTCCTCCATCCCTCTGGGAATGTCCTACCAGGTCCTCCCTGGTGCTCCAGACCAGGCTCCCATTCCCCTGGCCTGTCTCCCTTCCCACTCCAGTTGAGAACAGAGCCCACCCCAGTACAATCCCAGTCCCCTCCAACTGGGCCCCCCAAATTCCCAGTTGCTCCCTGAGCTCTCCATGCCCCAGGGGTTGATTTTCCCCTCGGGATGGGCTCACTTGGGCTCCTCCAGCCTGGGGTTCATGTTGGGCTCGTCCCTCCCCATCCCAGCCGGGCGCTCCTCGTGCTCCTGCTCCGCCACGATCTCCAGAGTCATCTCCAGTTTGCCCTGGGGGGGATGAACAAAACACACTCAGAACCCCAAAAAAGAGGGGAGGGGTGAGAAATGGGTGGAAAACATGGATTGGGGGAAGAAAATCCACTTGGAGCAAAGCCCAGAAACCACCCATGAGGAAACCAGGGAGAGTCCAGAGATCCCTCAACGGACCACGGGGGATCCTCCAGGAGATCCCAAATGTCACTGACACCCAAGTTTGGGGAAACCACAGAACCACTGAGGTTGGAAAAGACCTCCAGGATCGTCGAGTCCAACCTGTGACCGATCACCACCTTGCCAACCAGACCACGGCACTGAGTCCAGCCTTTCCTGATTCCCTGATTCCTGATTTCCCTGAACCCACCTCAGGAGGGCTTTTTTTTTGTGGAATGACTCCATTCACAGCCTGGACTCCTTTACCTGCACAAAAGCACCACCAAACCCTCGGACAGGACACTTTTCCAGGTGTCACTGGGACAGCTGGAGCCTTTCCCTGGTGCTTCCCGTGACACGAGATCATTGGGAACAGGCCTGACACAGAGTCAGGTTCAGTGGCACATTCCAAAATCCACAGCCAAAAAAAAAACCCCCACAAACCAAGGGATTCCTCCTGAGGAATTTGCACGGGGCTGGCAAACATCCAGGGAAAATTCACAGCCCCAAACTTCATTTGGTGCCCCGACCGTGACATCCCGCGGGTGCTCGGCCCGGACACCTCCCTCCTCAGAGCTTCCAGGGAAAATCCTGGAATGGTTCAGGGTGGGAAGGACCCGAAGGATCATCCCACTCCAGACCATGCAGATGTGGAGTTCCACCCCCTGCCACGGGCAGGGACACCTCCCACCAGCCCAGGCTGCTCCAAGCCCCGTCCAGCCTGGCCTTGGGCACCTCCAGGGATGGGGATTCGGAGTGAATCCCATGGGAACACGTGGAGGGGCCTCCTCACCGCCAGGATCTTCTTGTGGTCCTGCTCAGCCCCACAGGGCCACCAGCCCTTGACAGTTTTCTGCTCAAAGAGGGACACAAAGTGGCTGG